ATTCCTGCTTTTGGAAAGCTGTGTCGGCTAGAGATGATGCTGTCCCAAAGCTCTCCCTGGGATTCCTATTTCCGGAAAGGGAGCAGCGGGTGACGAAGTGCAGCCCCTCGGAACACACGTGGCTGTGTTGTCCGCACTGCTGTCCACGCCGGGGGCCCCGCGCCCCGAAAACGGAGCCCCACGGGGTCCACCCGACCGACAAACACGGCACAGCAGCCATGCTAACCAACTTCCGGGCCCAGCACCACCCTCCGCCTGAGGATGCCGCGGGCGCCCGTCACTCACGGGCAGGAAACGTCGGCTTTTAACTCCATGTGTGTAATCACGAAGTAACGAAAAGACTCCCATCGCCGCAGACGAACAGGAGGTCGGCTGGGCCCTCACCCGCCCCCGGTGACACAGGACCACTGCAGGCCGACTGCTGCCCCTCCCTGGGGGCGGCGGCTGGGCCCATTCTACATGAGCAACTCCTCTCCACAAGGCCGGTCCTAGGCCAAGGGCCGTGGGTTCCTGGGCAGGCTCGCTGCAGCCACACGCGGACGCTTCCCACCTTTCCTGCGAAGGCGGATCGACCGCCCAGCTTCCTGCTCTCCTCGTTCCTCAGACTAAGAGCACATTCAGCTTATTTCTTAAAATTCACCCAAATGAAACCGTAGAGACAGTAAGATCGGTGGTTGTCAGGGACAGCCACGCTGGATACGAGACGCCACGCACTTGTCCAAACCCACAGAACGTACGACCCCAAGAGCGAACCTACCACATAAACCTAAACCACGGACTTGAGTTAACACAACGTGTCAATATTCAGCAAGTGTTCAAACCTGTCACTTCTCGCAAAGGCAGCGCGCTCAGGCAAGAGGAGAACAACAGGAACACTGTGGAGGGGGGAGGGATATAGGAACTCCTACTCTCTGTGCAATTTTTCAGCATGCCTAAAGGTCTTTTAAAACAACAGTCTCTTGAAAACCAAAAAAATTTTCAAATACTACTAAACGCCAAATTTTTGTCGCAAGAATGAAAGCCGGAGAGACCCGCTGCACATCTTACATGAGCATGGGCCCCTGGACGCTCACGATCTCGGACAGGAAAAGGCCCCAGAGATCCCGAGCGGGGAGGGGTCAAGGGCTGCAGCCGGTTCAGGACTGTGGTGAGCTGACGGTCTGAGCGAGGAGACGTCACCAGCACTGCCCCCTCCATTCACACGTTACTGGCCTCACGAACTCTGGAATGTCTGGTCCGGTGTTTAAGTTGCCCCCTCATGTCTGTCCCCAGCGAGGGCAAATCAGAAACCAGAAGCCACGGTAGAATTCCCAGGAGAGAGGAGTGTGACAGGCTGAGATGGAAAGCCGGGGGCAGGGTCGACCCCAGGGCTTCAGGACGCACCTGCTGGAACTGCTCCATCCAGGGGGCCAGACTCCTCACCCCATGACACCCTCAACGTGGGAAGCAGGAAACCAGACCCTGGGGATGGACAACGTAACCAAGGTCAAAGGGAGGGGAGATGCAACTGAGGGACGGCTGAGGGTGGCAGGAAGAACCAACAGGCTGCCTGAAGGGGAGAAGTGACGCCAGGTGACTGCTGGGGAGGGGTGGAGGGAGGCCTGAGCCAGAGCGGTGAGGACTCCCTCTGAGGTGGCAGGCACAGGAGAGAGGAAGTGGGAAGAAAGCGGGCCACCGAGGCAAAAGGATTCCAGTGCCCAGCGGTTGCACTGGTGTTTCAGACCCACTCAGGGAAGACCCACCCACGTGCTGTCTTCAGCTTGTCAGCGGAAGTCCCTGAAAGAACCTGCCTAACCTATACGCTGTGAACCACGGAAGACATACTCCAAAAAGTGACCGAAAGAGTAATTTTAAAAACTTGATGCGACTCTGCTTTAACCTGAGAGTCTCAGGAATATAAGGCACAGAAGTGAAAGAAAAGATCACGCCCATTTCCACGTAAGCTAAAACTATACTCACGAGATGTCACGTTACACATTTCAGGGAGAGAAAAACCAAAACAGAACTAGACACGTTTAACACGTAGAAGAAATGCCAGAATTCCAGAGATTCTAGAGTGCTCACAATTTGGGGAGAATTTACTTAAATTTTACAGATTAGTATTTATTTCTTCTTCGTTATAAAAAGCTTTACGAAAGCTCACCTCTCTTTTGCTAGATCTTTCACTCACCTCTTTCTGACGACCTACAAATCGAACTTTCCTGTAGTCTGTATTGCCATAAACCTGCAAAGAAAAAGACGGTATGTGATGTTTTACGGCCCAATTCTGTATCTTTATACCAATCATAAACGTTTCAGGAAAAGTGTTTTCTTAACGTTTAGGCCATTCACGATCACACACACCAGGAGTTAAGTGTAGTTGCGCACCCACGGGCATTTTTCGGCAGGATTCCTACCGGGACATCAGGCAGTAGTCTGAACTGGAAATAGCAAAAGGTAGGGAAGGAGCAGAGGAGAGCAGTCCTGGCGGAGGGGGACACCCGCCTTCGATCTCAGAGGCCCCAGAGCGTCCTTCCTCGCTGAACCTGCTCCGTGACCTTTTCTAACAACACAGGTACTCACTCCCTCATCTTTGGGCTGAGGATCACAGCCCAACGCTGTGTTTCTATTTTAGTAACTCGACGGCAGACCCTCGAGTTACTAAAACGGGGTATTCAACATTACACAAACAAGGGGAGGTCGGACCCACAGAATTGGTCATTTCTGACTCCACCGGAGTTCTCCCCACAGTAACCAAGGGGCCACCCCGGGATAACAGTCTTGTATCTGAGTTCGCTCCGAGGATGAGACCGCAGTGGCTGCAGACGGCCCCTCGGTACCCCTGCGGGTAGTGGGTCCGGGGCCCGGACGGAGGGGGAGACCGAAGACGGGACCGCAGGCGCTGGGTCTGGGGCGACAGGGGCACTGGGGGGCTGGACTGCGGGTACGGGGCCCGGGGCCCCGAGGGATTGGACCGTGGGACCCGGGTGCTGGGCCGGGGGAACAGGAGGGACCGGGGTGCTGGGCGACTGGACCACGGGCACTGAGCTTGGGGCACAGGGGGCACCGGGGCGCTGGACCCCGGGGACACGGGGGCCGAGCCGGGGCTCCGCCCACCCGGGCGCCCCGAGGGGGAGGGCGCTCTCCGCGCCGCAGGGGTTACCTGGCCGGTGTGCGTGACCTTCTCCCCGGCCGGCGAGGTTTGCACCCCGAAGCACCTGGCGGCCCCGGGCAGGCTCCGCGCCGCCTCGCCTCCCCGGCCCAGCAGCCTGAGGAAGGTCACCGCCGCCGCCATCTTTCAGGCTGACCCTCGACCCCGCGCACCGACGCGCCGAGCGCCGACGCACGCGCACGGCGTCCGCAGGGACCGCTCGGCCGGGATTTACCTCGCCCGGTTAGGCGCGCACGCGCGGTGCGGTCAGGCAGGTGCGGCCGGCTGGTGCAGCGGCGGGCGGGCGCTCAGCCGGGATAAGGCGGGACGCTCCGCGCAACCTTAGCACTTAGTGATGCTCCACTTACCAGGGGCAGGGCACGGGAGGATGGAAACGGAAGATGCAGTGCTTACCTTCGATGGTGACGGATAATCATAGCGAGTTACATGTTGAATGTTGTGAATGTTGGAGATGAGTCCTTGCTGAGAGGAAACTGGAAGTACATCATGTTGGACAGAGCGCATTTCGTTGTGGTTCTGGGGTTTCTGCAGCAGAGCCCAATGAAACTGCCAGTAAAGCGCAGCCGATGGCATCCCTCATGCAGGTCAGCCCCGAAAGGCCCGCTGCTCTGGAGCACACCTGAGCAGGACGCTGGCTCGCTGTCCCGGCCCTGCTTCTCTCCTGCCTCTCATGGCCTCCTCCAAACGGCCTGTGCAGAGACCCGTCGGGATGGTCAGCTCACACGGCCAGCCCCCGATAGGCGAGGGCGGTGGGCATAGGGAGCAGTCCCAGAGCTGAGGTGGAGTCGCGCATCCCACTGCCCAGCAGCTGAGGGCATCCACAGCCTGGACTCCAGGGAGGTGTGGCGAGGAGAGGCGACAGTGCCCAGAATACCTCCCGGATCGGAAAGGTGTCCACGGACGCACGCTCAGAGGCAGGCCCGAGCTCACCTGTGCAGGGGCCACAGCTTGCAGCCGGGTCAGGGGTGCGCGTGCGGTGCCAGGGCAGCGCACAGGTGCACCCTGTGTGCAGCTCACCTTCGTGTGCGTGGAAAGTAGTTGTGTCCACGCAGACACAGCCTGGAAAGACATGCGTGGCGATTTCACTGTGGAATCTGGGCAGTGGGTACGTGGGTGTTCGCCATAAGTGTCTTTCAACTTTTCTCTGTGTTTGAAAGTTTTCATAATAAGATGTCGGAGGAAATAAATTTAACTGCAATCAGTTAGAACCAGGGCCTATTTCCATGCGTCCCCCTGAGCCTCGCCACATTTCTCCCAGGATGTCCACTAAATACAAACATGAGTTTTTTCTAGATTTTGTTTTGACATATTGATATTTATCAGCTTCTTTAAAAGTCCGCTTGGTTGTGACTTCTTTTTCATTCAAAATACCCACTTTTGTCCCCATTTTTCATCCCTCCCCCGCCCCCGGGAGCGCCCCCCAAACCTTAGCCGCCCGGTGGCCCACAGGGTTGGGGGAGTACCGGGAGGAGGGCGCAGGGTCCTGGGAGCGGGGGCGGGCTGGGTATGCAGGGGACCGGGGAGGGGAAAGGCAACCAGCCGGGAAGGAACCCGGCGCTCCGCGACTCCCGCACCCACGTGGCTCAGTCTCTGCGCCCAGCCCCGAGGGGACCGCCACGTGACCCTGCTGCCATCTTCCTTCCTGGCGGACACTCCGGGCGACGGCATCTCCGCCCCACTGCGCAGGCGCTGCCGAGGGCGCAGGCGCAGGGGCTGGCGAGGCGGGCTGCTGGCGCGCCCGGACGCCCTCTTTCCAGGTGGGGGTCGTGGGGTGTTCCGGGGGTCCCGGGATCAGGAAGGGCGCGTTCTGGGGACCCCTGGTCTCGGCTTCCCCGGGTGGGACGCGCGCGGAGGTCATTGCGGTGGGAAGCGGCCGCACGGGTGCTGATCCATTCTAGCGGGGCACCCTTCCGGACCGCCCGGGGGGCGCACAGATTCCCGGACCCGCGGCATGGGTCCCGAGGGCAGGGCCGCGGGGAAGGAGGTTTTCTCGGGGGCAGGAGCCACCGGCGGCTGTGACAACTCTTCCTCTTTCTCCCTAGATCCAGCCGCGACATGGCCACCGCTCTCCTAAGGAAAGTGGTTTCCGCCGTGGGCTCCCTGCTGCACCTGGGTGGCCTCCCGCTCTCCTCGCTCGCGCCGTGCCCCCCGCGCGCCTGCCGTCAGGTCGGTGCGCCCTTCAGCCCGGCGGCCGCGCTCCTCTCCGCGCGCCCGGCCCTCGGCATGCAGCAGCCAGCCCTGGGCTTCAAGACCAGGGGCGTCCTCAGGAAGCGCTGCAAGGGCTGCTACCTGGTCAAAAGGCGCGGGCGTTGGTTCGTCTACTGCAAGAGCAACCCAAAGCACAAGCAGAGACAGATGTAGCCCTCGGGCTGGGAAATCCCTGCCCGGGAGACGGTGCTGCCTCTTGGAAAGGAAAATAACATGTAAACATTCTGTAGCCTCCGCTCTGCTGACCTTCGGCTGTTGTGGACTCTGCGGCCTGCGTCTCACCTCCTTGTGGCTCAGGATCCAGCCAAGCCTGAGACCCACCTGGGAACGTGTCCTTCTTAGCTCCTGCGCAACCTGTGTTTGCGCTCGGGCAGAGGACCGAACATCGGGGGGAGGGGGAAGCTGCCTTTATCCCACGTCAGAATGCAGGTTCTTTAGAAGACCACCCTGTGCTCTCTCGGTGGTCTTTAGAAGACCACCCTGGGCTCTCTCGGCCCGATCTCTGCGTTCAGCCACGCTGCCGCTTCCCTGTGGATTCAGACTCGTGTTCTCAACATTCGCATCTCCAGGATAAGCAGGGAAGGCCGTGATAGCCGTCTTTAAGTCAAGGGAAATTTAACTTGTTTATACATATATAAAGGTATTTTGGGCATTGATTAAATATGTTTGTCATCCTTAGTCTGAGACTTGAGAAGTGTGTGCGCACACGTGTGTCCATGTGCGCCTGGGTGCAGCGCGAATGCATGTGTGAACTGCTGTGTGCAGTGTATGCATGGGTGCAGTGTGTGTGTGTGTGTGTGCAGTGGGTATGAGCTGCTGCTGTGGACTCTGCAGACTGCGACCTGGAGCCCGTGGTACGCAGTGCCCTGGTGTCGCCTGTCACGGGGTCACAGCCTGATGAGTTTTTGAATCATCCCTCTCTCCTGGGGTTATCAGCCTCTGTTTGATCTAAGATAAGAGCATGACCAAACCCCTTGCAGCTCATCTACTTCCTGATGCCTGGATGGACCAGCATTTAGAGCCCTGAGATTGCAGCACAACAAAGAAGTCGGTTTAGGTCAGAAGGCAGCAAATTACAATCCACAGGCCAGACCCAGCCTGCAACCCATTTTTGTAAATAAAGCTTTATTGGAAAACAGCCATGCCGTTCATTTATGTTTTGTTAAACCTACAGCAGCCGAGGTAGTAGCTGAGTAGTTATATCAGAGACCTTATGACCCGGAAAACCTAAAATATTTACTATTGGGGCTGTATTTGCAGGAAAAGAGTGCCAATCCCTTGTTGAGATCATTAAATAAGTTTCTTATCCTAGGATTTGACTTCACTATGACACAACCTACCAGAAACATTTCATGTTTTCTCTATTATCCATATAGTGAGAGAGATCTTTGTATATACTGGCCACGAACGAATAGAATCTGAGATTTAAATAACTATTTATAATAGCACCAAAGCCATGACATATTTAAATAACAAGATTAGGCACATTCTGTATACTTAGAATTGTAAAACACTCGGAGAATTCAAACAAAATCTAAATAAAATATTGAGATTAGAAGACTCTGTTACTGTCAGTTCCATCCAGATTGGTCTACAGACTGAGTGTAATCCTGATTTTTATACGATTTTGTACAAAATGCCATGGTTCTTCAAAATCTTGTATGGAAAAGGTAAAGCAAGTAAAATAGCCAAAAGAATTTTGAAAATAAAGAAGTCTTGGAGGCTCACTGTACATAAAACCACAGCAGTGAACACGATGTAGTACCTGTGAACGTGTACACACATAGCCCAATGGGACCCAGCAGAGTGCTCAGAAATGGACCCAACACATATGTGCCTTAAATGATTTTCGAAACAGGATTGAAGGCAATTCAACGTAGAAAGGATAGTCTTTTTTACACATGATTCTAGAAGACTGGATTTCCATATACACAGAAGAAACTTCACACCTTTCACCTTATACAAAGCTTAACTAAAAATAGACCATAGGCCTAAATGTAAAGCCCAGTACTATAAAAACATGGGGGGAATTACATGTGAATTTGGGTTATGCAAAGACATTACACCAAAAGCATGACCCATGAGAGAAAACATTGTTAGATTAGTTCTCATCAAGGTTACTATCTTCTGCTCTTCAGAAGACACTGCTAAGTAAATGAAAAGACAGGGCAAAAACTAGGAGAAAATATCTGCAAAACACATTTCTGATCAAGGAATGGATCTATAATATATAAAGAAATCTAAAACTCAATACTAAGAGAACGACCCAATTAAAAATGGGCAAAAGACTTGAAGAGATATTTCACACACAAAAAATGTACTAATGAAAAGTAAGCACATAAAAAAGATGCTCAGCACTAGGTTTTAGTGAAAAGCAAATAAAAACTGCAGTGAGACAGCACTCCTGCCTATTAGAATGGTTAACAAATAGGCAAAATCAATTAATGGTGAGAATTGTAGCAGTTGTAACTCAGTAAAAAATAGTACAGCCATGTTGGAAACAGTCTGGCCATTTCTCATGAAGCTAAATATTCAATTATTTAGCAATCTCATTTCTGGGTATTTGTCCAAGAACAACGGCAACTTATGTTCACAGTAAAACCTTTATGTGAATGTTTATAGTGGTTTTACATATAAATTTTAAAAAAAACCCACAACAAACTGCAAACAGCCCACATGTCCTTCAGGTGGTAAATGGATGAACCAGCTGTGCGCATCCTTACAAAGGAAAACTCAGCAGCAAAAAGAAAGAACTACTGGTAGAAATGAAAACACGGATGAACCTCAAATCCATTATTCTGACTGATGGAAGCCTGGACACAAAAAGCTACATATTTTATGACTCCAAGGGTATGACATCATGGAAAAGCCAAAATTATAGGGACAGACAATTGATCTGTTGGCAGGAGCTGGGGATGGGGACAAGGGATTGGCTACAAAGGGACATGAAGGAATGCTTTTGGGTGATGGAATATTCTACAATTTGATTATGGTGGTGGTTTCATGACTGTACCTGCCTATAAAACTCATAGAAATACACACTAAAAGTGAGAGTTTTACTTAAGGTAAACTGCACCTCAATAAAACTTGCAAAAAAAAAAAAAATACCCAAATGGAATTTCTGGAGCAAATGGAACTCAAATAAATAAAGACAAAAACATCAAGAAACAAAAGCAAACAATGGAACTCAGTGAGCCGTGGGACAATGGCCAGCATTCGAGCCTAAGTGGAATTGCAGTCCCGGGAGGGTTGAGGCAGGAAAAAAATCGTTGAAGAAAAAATGACCAGAATGTTTCCGTATTTGGTGAAACCAATAAACCCACAAATCCAAGAAGTTTAACAAACTCCAATCAGGAGAAACATAAATAAAACTACATAATAGTACATCTTTATCAAATTGCTAAAAATCAGATAAAGAGAAAACCTCAACTTCAGAAAAAAAAAAAAAAAAAAGACTCATTCCTCATAAAGAGAAAAAAAATAAGAATACTGTAATACCTGACTTCTCATCAGAGACCATGCAGGCCAGAAGACAATAAAACCTCTTCAAAGTTCTGGGGAGAACTGCCAATATAGAAATCTATATCCACTGAAAATATCTTTTGAAAAGGAAGGTGGGAGACAAGACTTGTTCTGATAAACCAAAGCTAGGAGAATTCAGATGGAAACGCAGATCTACATAAAGAGATGAAGACAGCCAGAAGTAGTAACTATTTAGATAAACACAAAAGATATTTCCCGGGCTTCCCTGGTGGCGCAGTGGTTGAGAGTCCACCTGCCGATGCAGGGGACACGGGTTTGTGCCCCGGTCCGGGAAGATCCCACATGCCGCGGAGCGGCTGGATCCGTGAGCTATGGCCGCTGAGCCCGCGCGTCCAGAGCCTGTGCTCCGCAGCGGGAGAGGCCACAGCGGCGAGAGGCCTGTGTACCGTAAAAATATATATATATATATATATATATATATATATATATTTCCCTTCATTTAAACGTCCCTTTGAAAGATAACTGTTTAATGAAAAGTAGTAACAACATCTTGTGGTGTTTTTGACGCATGTAGTTCTGACACGTGTGACCACAACAGCACAAAGGATGAGAACCTGCTCTCCTAAGGGTCTCACTCCAATCCTGACCTGGTAAGTAGTGTTTAAAGGCAAACTGTGACGTCACAGTTTTATACTGTAAACACTAGACCAACCACTAAGAAAATAAAACAAAAAGACATATGTAGTAAGTCAATAATGGAGAAAATACAAAATATTAAAATATCCAATTAATTTAAAATAAGAAAACTCAAAGGGGAAAAGGAGCAATGTATTGATATGATAAATAAAGAATAAAAAATAAGATTGTAAATTTAAACTCAGCTATCAATAATCACACTAAATGGTCCAAGAACCCCAATCAAACAGAAGAGACTGTCAGATTGTATTAAAAAAGCAAGACTCAAGTATATGCTCTCTCCAAGAAATCCAGTTTAAATATGTCACAGGCAGGTTAAGGGATGGGAGAAGATACATCATGCAAACAATAATCAAAAGAAAGCTGGAGTGGTTTCAGTAATCTTTGTCCAAATAGACTTTTGATCACCAGCTATTACCAAGTATAATGATAGAGGGGTTAATTAATCAAGAACAGATAACAATCCTAAATGTCTATGCATATAATAACAGAGCTTCAAAATACATAAAGCAAACATTTATAGAACTGCAAGGAAGGATAGGCAAATCCAAAATTCTGGTTGGAGACATCAATACTCCTTTCTCAATAATTGATAGAACAAGCAGATTAAACAATAATAAGCATGCAGATTTGAACAATACTATGAATCAACTTAATCGAATTGATATTTATAAAACGCTCCCCCGGAATATCAGCAGGATAAGTTTTGTTTGTTTGTTTGTTTGTTTTTTTAGGTTCAGGCAGAATATGCACCAAAATTGACCATATTCTGGGTCAATGAATTTCAGAAAATGAATGTCTCAGTGAATTTCAAAAGATTGAAATTATAAAAAACATGTCCTGATCACGATACTAAACTAGGATTTAATAACAAAGGTATCTGGATAATCACACAAATACTTGGAAACAAACTAAACAGGACAATTCTAAATAACCCACGGGTCAAAGGAGGATTAGAAAGGTAAATTAGAACT